ACACAATCTAACCTATATATATATATAAACAGTGCGTGTCACGTCACGCTTCATTTCTCTTGGTTTCTCGAAATATGAAGAGTCTGCCCATTACGATTTTAGTGACGGGGGTGCAAGGGAGCCGTGCCGTGAAACTTTATAAGTGTAGTGAGTGCTGGTATAGTAAGCCTAAAGTAAAAACATAGTATGGATCACCTGGCCAAGAGCCAAGTTCATAAAATTTATCATGAAAGTAAAAATATCGATTAAATTTCAAATGTAAATATTTTCTCAATTAAGCTATTTTCTCTTATATCACCAACGTTTTAAATTGAAAAAAAAAACCTCTTTAATCAACAGAGACTATTGTAAGAAATCAACAGATATTTTTCCAGTTTTGTTGTCTATACATTTCATTTTATACTTTTAGTACATAGACCTGTGATTCTGAAAGTGAGGGGTGGGGTGTACAATAAATAAATAAATCATATTAGTGTGAAGGGCGAAAAACGTTCCGTGACTCAAACTAAATTTCTAAACTTTACATTATATTATTATTATACCTTTTCAATACCAAATTTGTTTTTATATTAAGACGACATCAAATATTTTGAGGTGTCGAGGTGGGGCAAGGAGCAAAAAAGGTTAAGAACCACTGACATAGACTAACAACAATATTAGGTTATACTTTTGTTGCTAAGCAATATGACAAACGCCATTGTTGGAACGTAGTGTAACCAAAGCGCACTTGCATTTCTATATACTAGAGGTTGCTAATATAATTGATTTTTACCAATAATTATTCTACGAATACGCCACGAATTCATTTCATGAATGATCTTAATTTTGATTGCCTCACAAAGGAATTTACCTACGTTTGGCTGCCTCGACTGCACTTTTCTGTCTCTCTGTTGGTCAAGCTTGATTTTGTAAAATTGATTTATTTCAGGTTTGCTATGAAATGTGAGGTTAGGGTATACTATGGGGTTGGAGTGGGGCTGTTAGCACTTACCCCGTCATTTTTGACGCACTATACGCTAGTGTACTTATAATACTTGTTTATTTGTTTGTTGTTAAACACAAAGCAACACAATTGGCTATCTGTGCTGTGTCCACCACTAGTGTCTAAACCCGATTTTTTGCGGTGTGGGCCCTCAGAATTACCGCTGAGTCTTCTGGTAAGACAGCGGTAAATCTACGGACTTACAACGCTAAAATCCAGGATTAGATTCCCCGCGATGGACACAGCAGTTAGCCCAATATGGTTTTGCTCTAAGAGAAGCAAACAAACTTACCACTGAGCCAGTGGAGACACTTATAATAATGCTAATACTATATTTGCTTGTATTATGAGTAAGGCTAAATAAACAGCAAATTAACGGAGGATCGCGTTAATACAGAGCCGAGCGTGGTCTACAGATTAGCACGCCGGACTTTGGATCCGAAATTTCGTGATTGCATCTCGTTGTTGCAAAATTACGATCCACACTTTGGAGTCGTGGGTGCGTTATAAGACTGACGATCGAATCCCACTATTTGTTTAGAGTAGCTCAAAAGTTGGCGGTAAGTGCTGTTGATTAGTTGTCTAGTCTATCAGCTCAAAATTAGGGATGGCTAGAGCAGGTAGCCCTAGTGTAGCTCTGTCCAAATATCTGAAACAAAGAAAAACAAATATTTTTAATGCTGTCACTCATGATTAGTTAATTTAACTTTTTTACTGTATTTTTCTACGCTAGGAAGCACACGTTTTATGGAAGCACTTGTTTTTTTAGCGACAAATAATGCATCAAAATTTGGACACATTGCTAATTATTTCTCTTTCGTTCTGAGGAACTTTCTATCTTTGTTATCAAAAATATTAAAATTCAGGGTTAATGTCTTATGCCTAATTTTGGGCAACGGCACAAACATTATTTATTAAACTTTGCACAAGTAGTGTTATAACTTAATATATAACTATGCTGTTCTGATGGTGAAAACAACAGTGAAATTAAGTTCCTCCACTGTAATTTATCTTCCAATTCAAACTCACTATCAAATTTATTCTTACATGACACTGTAAACATTACAATTAAATCTTAATTAAGGAGAATGTTTTTGCAGTTTTTAGCTCTAAGGTTAAAAAGTAACTTATTGTTTGAGACATTTAATAACAAATATGTTGGAAACTAAGTTGTCATTTACAATACCTTCTTTATATTTTACATAAACTTATCTTCAGAGAAAGCTTTATTACCTTATTTTGAACGAATTTCAAGGAATAAAAATAAGTTTACAGACACGAAGTAGATTAACGATCAGGACAACTTCAAATTTCTTCCAGTTTATGGTATAAGCGGTAGTGAGAATGAAGGAAAGGAAATGTTATAGTTTAAAACTAATTTTCGTGTTGAAACTTATAAATTGATGATGCGGTTCTATAATCTACAACTTGCATAGTTATCCTTGAACGAAAAGCTTTTGTATCGTGTTTAGTTACAAGGCTTAATGAAAGTGAAAATCAATAAGCAAATAAAACATTTATTCACTTGACAAGTATGCATACAACTCATTTTCCATCGAAACTCCTGTTTGCTATATACTGCGAATGCCTCAGTTTAAACAAGACACTTTAGTTTTTTCTTACGTGTTATTAATTCGCTTCGAGTAAAAAGACCCTTTTAAGACATGTTGACAAGTGGAATCAATGAGCATGGACACTTAAAGTCGTTTTTCTTCGTCTTATTTGTACAGCAGTTACATAAAACACCACCGTTTTGTTTTACTTACGTCAAAGAAGTGTCAACTAGTCACCAGTGGCTGCCATGACGTTCTCATCAAGAGAAGAAATGTTTCGTTACCAAAGTAACCACTGATGCACTGGATGCTCATGCATTGTGTTACGTTACCCTACATTTCAAGTTCGCCTCATTTTCCAAAAAAGAGCGAACTTTAACAAGACTCATTAATTATAATTTGACGCGTAATTTCTTCAGAAACAAGTCACTAACTTGTTTTATGAATTATAGCGCAGTAACTCTTGGTTTCACAGTAACTTGTTCTTTGTAGCAAGGAAGAGTATATGGATGCTGTTCAAATGTCAAGTCGACTCAAATGATTGATGGAATATATATATATATCTTGACAAAGTTCGTTTTACTCACATTGGCTTATCGTATATTATTATTGGTTGAACTGATTGTGATATAGTTAAGAAACACGTAATACCCTTTGTATTGCAAGCAATAAGTCTGGGTTTTTAACACTATGCATGTAGGAATATCAAAATCCGGTAATTTCTTGTAAGTGATATTTTTCATTTTCTTAAAATAACTTCATTATTTTCATTATATGTTTTGTAATTTGTCAGAACTGGAATTACAAACTAATAAATAAAACAACTGTCCGGTGCTTTAATGAAAATGAAGAATAAATTTATTCAAAGTAACAACAGGAAAAGTGCAAGTGGTATCTAGAGGATGTAAAAAATTTGATGCTTTTTATTTTCATCGAAAACCATTTTTATTATATGAACCTGAGTTTATAAGCCCTGATTTCGAATGCTTAAGTCTAATAATTTGTCAAATTGAGTGAATTAACAAAAAATTATAGCTATTAACTGTGAAGCTGTCTTCTAAACTTTTTCGTCATGAAGATTGCTAATATAACAGCTTGAAACGATACTGAACACTTGTTTCTAAGCAGAGCTTTAAGTAAGTGATTTGATTTATTTCGTGACGTCTAAAGAAAATTGATTCCTTTGCAGTTCAGTCCACTGTGCATCAGAATGACAAAAATGTGATTTTGTAATTGCTTAATGGTTATTTTTTTCTTAAATGACTATTGTTGTGTACCCAAGAAAATATCCAAATCATTTTTTTACAGAGTTTCATCCACGATAAGTTCTTCCTCCCCACCCTTCGACTTAATTCTATCTCTCTCTCTCCTCTCCCGCCGAGTTTGAGTGTAACCACGTGCAACGAACTAAGTAACCACATACCATCTGTCAACCAGCCTTTCTCTAGCGGCAATATCAACAAACAGCACGCTCTATACTCCCCTGTGCTGCAGTTTTTGTTTACAGTGAACGAACATATACGTCTTGTTCTCTAAATCAATTTCAGCACACAAAAGCTGGCGGCTTATTTCTGTTGGGAGGGTTCAAACACACGTGACTAAGGAAGATCCCACCCATTCTCATCTTGCGCGATTTTGATACGGTTGAATACTCGAGATGTCCGTTCTATTTCCATAACCTCATCCTCCACCAATAAAATTAACTGAAAGACTATGCACCCTGTCCCTGAGCTTCATTCACTAAGAAGGTGATGATGGTGTCGCAGAAGAGGCTATTTTATGGATAACAGGTGACAAACTACACAAGTTGAGATCATCTTTTTGTTCTGTGATTAGAGTGAGCAGTTTTGATACAAGCTGTAGTTTGTTTAGCACGAAAACAAGCGTCATAAACGGGTTAAAAAACACAGAATTATATTAGTTTTTAGCAAGATACAAGGCAAATCTTTATCTATTACTATAGCTTCAGGTATTCTTAACTACGTGGACTTGAAAGTCCTTCGCTTCGCCTTAATCTGATACAGAATGGTAACGAAGGTGGAAGAAAGTAAATCTGATGTTTTGAGTACCTTCAATCAAAGATTTTATGAGAAACTGCCTAAAAACAATTCGCATTCTTTAGAACGATCAAAACACATTTATTACGAGAGAGAACACTATGGCAAAGAACTGAATTACTCAGAACATTTATTAGAGCTCTCTTCGGCAAAAAAACGTA